CCCCCCCCCCCCCCGCGCACAGTGGGACCCCCGGCACCTTCCCGGGACCCCCCAGTGCCCTCTGGGACTCCCCGAGACCCCTCGGCACGCCTCAGTTCCCCCCTGAGACCCCTCGGGACCTCCCAGACCCCTTCATCCCCCCCAACTCCACTCCATCGTTGCCCAGATCACTCTGGTCCTCCCAGACCCCCAAAAGCCCCCCCAGACACCCTAATCACCTTTCAAACCCCTCCAGTGACCCCCCCAATTTCCCCCCAGCCCTTCCCCAGCGCTCCCGGAACCCCTCGACACACCGAGCAGACCGCAGACCCGCGCCACCCCCCGCCCGGGGGTCCTGGCGAAGTTGAGGTGCAGCCGCAGGACGCGCTCGCCCGGGAGCCGCAGCCGCAGCGGGCGGTGCCGGGGGGCAAAGCGGAGCCGGGAGCCCCCCCCGACGCCCAGGGCGTCCAGGGGGGGCCCGGGGGGCAGCAGCCACCGCCGCTGCTGCACCCACCACAGCGCGTGGTCCGACCAGTCCCGGGTCTCCCCTGGAGGAAAGGGCGTCAGGGGAGGCTGTGGGGGGGGTATGATAGGGCTGGGAGGGGGCGCTGGGGGTCCATGGCAGGGGGATGGCCATGAGGGACTGGAGTAGGGTTGGAGGGTGCTAAAGGGGGCTATGGGAGGTCCTGCCGTACTCCCAAACCACATCGGGGGGACTACAGGGGGCCTGTAATGGGGCAATGGGGGTATGTAGGGCTCTAATGGGGGCTGTCAGAGGCTGTTGGGAGCTACAGGGGGCTATGGGGATGCTATAGGAGGCTGTGAGGAACTGGAGTGGGGTTAGGGGTTACTAAATAGGGATTACGGGGGAGTCGTGGGGTGCTGTGAGGTCTGTAGGGGTCCCACTGTACCCCCAAACCACATCGGGGGGGCTCAGGAGGCCGTGGGTCCCTGGGGGGGAGCCACCCTTGCAGCTATTTATAGCCCATGGGTCCCTTATCGCCCTGGCCGGGGAGGACCTGGGGAGGGGAACTGGGAAGTAGGGGGACGCTGGGACCCCTCGATAAGGGCTCAGTATCCCCAGGCTGGATCCTCCCCCAACATCCTCTCTCAACCACATGGCACTTAGGGGGGGCTGGATGCCCCTACAACCCTTTCCTATGGGGCCTGGAGCTGGGGGGCCCAGACACCAGGGTCCAGCCTCCTGCCACAGTGGGGCACAACTGGGGGTCAGGGCTGTGGATCCCAGCTGTGGGTCTGGCCAGAGGTCAGGGCTACCGGTCACTCACCAATGGTCTCCACGATGAGGCGCATGAGGCCACCAATGTGCAGGTCCCCGGTGACACGGAGGGCAAGGATGCGGAGAGCTGCTGGGGGGCTGGGCTGCCCCACAACATCTCCCTGCCCCATGGCATCTCCCTGCCCCATGACATCTCCCTCCTCCACCTCCACCTGCAGCTCGAAGGAGCCGTCAATGTCCTCCCCACTCGCCGTCTTCAGCCCTGCCATCACTCTGTCCCTTCCCAATGGTGTCCAGAATGTTCCTGCCCCACGTCCCACCCCACGTCCCATCCCACTTCCTTCTCCACAGCACCCTGGACACCCGGGTTCACCCCACACCACCACCACCCACCGCAGAGGAAGTCGTGGTGGGGAGGAGCCACAGGGTCTGAACGTTGGGCTGTTCCCCCCCCCCGCCATGACACCCACCAGGGCCACAGGGCAAGGACATTGGGGTCCCTCATCTGGGGATATCCCTGTCCTCCTATCCCCCACACCCCATCCCTCTACTATCCCACCAGCTGGGACAGGACCTGGGACCCCCCCCAAGTCACCCTCATTGTACTCCCAGGACACGGTGTTCTCATGGGATGGGGGTCTGGTGCTTCCCGGGGTCAGTCCACAGGATCCCTGGGAAGGGGACAGAGCTGGCAGAACTCTCCAGACTCTCCAGGGGGTGCAGGACATGAAGCAGCGAATGAGGCAGGAATAGGTAGAGAATGGGGTAGGAGTGGGGCAGGAATGAGGCAGGGAATGAGGCAGGAATGGGCAGGGAATGGGGTAGGAATGGGCAGGGAATGGGGTAGGAATGGGCAGGGAATGAGGCAGGGAATGGGGCAGGAATGGGCAGGGAATGGGGCAGGAATGGGCAGGGAATGGGGTAGGGGCAGCCAGAGCAGGGCTGGGAATCCCAGGAAGAGCCAGGGACACTTCCTGGAGTTGGGAAGGCCAAGGCAGAGGGGCCGGAGCTGAGCTCGGAATACCAGGAATCACCAAAGGAACATTGGACAGGAACAGGGGTCTGACAGTGCCGCCCCACTAGCACGGCTGGAAAACCGGGACCGGCAGCGCGAGACGGCTGAGGGGCCCCCCCGGCTTCCCCCACCTCCTTCTTTGCTCTCGGGAACAGGGACAGGATGGGGGAGAGGATCCACCCCGGAGGAACAGGCTGAGCCCTTGCCATGGTACTGGGAACGTCCCAGCGGTCCTGGAAAGACTGTGACGGACTCCCAGTGGACTGAGAGGGACTGGAAGGGGTTAGGAGCAGACCGGATTGGGCTGGGAGGTGATGGCAGTGGACTGGGAGGGACTGGAGTGAACTGAGAGGCTCTGGGGGAGTCTGGGAGGGAATGGGAAGCACTGGAAGGGACTGGGAGGATCCTATGGCCTTCTATGGGGGCACTTGGAGGGACTGGGAGGGGACTGGAGGACACTGGGAGGGACTGGGATATACTGGAACAGGACTAGGGGGAACAGGGAGGGACAGGCTATGGGAGGGGTCAGCCTCGATGTCTCTAGGGATGCCGCCCCCACTCCCCCTCCCCCCCCAGTCACGGGCTGGGGCTGCTGAGGCCAAAGGATTTTATTGTTGGGGGAGTCGGTGTGGTCCCAGCACATCCCCTTTGGGGCGGTTTCCAGTGTCCCCTTGGGGGGAGATGGGGCCAGGGGAGTGTCCCAGGGAGATGGGGTAGGGGAGTCCAGTGTCACATGGAGGGGACATGGAGGGACACATGTAGGGTCCATTGTCACATTGGGGGGACATGGGAGGGAGTCACAGCTTCAGTTTCACAGTTAGTGGGGGCAGATGGGGGGGCTGTGAGTGTGCACAGGGTGAGTGTGCAAAGGGTGAGTGTGCAAGGGGGGTGAGCGTGCGTGGGGTGGACACCATCGGCCTGCAGTGGGCACCATTGGCTCGTGCCAGGCGAGTGTGAGCGAGGTGTGAGCGTGCAGGGGGCCTGCAGGATCGGTGTGCGCGGCTCTGAGCGTGTGGCACGGGGATGGTGTGCACAGAACATGAGTGTGCCCGGCGTGTTCATGGCATGTGACTGCAGTCAGTGTGCACAGGCGAGTGTGCCCAGGGTGGGAGTGTGCCCACAGCGAGTGTGCCCACAGTGAGTGTGCCCACAATGAGTGTGCCCACAGCGAGTGTGCCCAGGGTGGGAGTGTGCACAACATGTGTGCAGCGTGTTCATGGTGAGTGCCCAGGTGAGTGTGCCCGGGGTGACTGTGCCCACCTGACCATGCCATGTGCAGGTGCCCCCATGCCAGGGGGCTGCCGCGGTCCCGGAGTCCTGTGGAGTCCCACAGATGTCGGAGGGTCTCCCCCGGGGGTCTCAAGGGGTGTTGGGGGATGTCAGGGGATCCCCAGAGAGGTCAGGGGGTCCCCCCCGGGGGCTGTTGGGGGGTGTCAGGGGGTTTGGGGGGTCCCCGGGGGGGGTGCAGCAGCCGCGTGACCCGGCTGAGCCGCGCGTTCGCGTCCTCCTGGCCCTGCTGCAGCCGCCGGGTGCTGCGGCGGAGCCCCCGGAGCTCAGCCTGGAGCCGCTGCTGCACTTCGTGGCCCTGCCCCACACAGAGCCACAGGTCAGCCCCCTGCCCCACACAGACCCATAGATCAACCGCCTCAGCGTTCCCCCAGTTCTCTCCCAGTGTCCCCCCAGTGACTCCCAGTATTCCCCATTTCTCCTCCACCGTTCCCAACTGCCCCCCAGTCCCTCAGCAGTGTCCCTCTGGTGCCCCCCAGTGCACCCCAGTTCCCATCCAGCCCCACCAGTGCCTCCCAGTGTCCTCCCAGTGTGCCCCCCAGTGCCCCCCACCTCCTGCAGACCCTCCTGCAGCCGCTTCAGCGCCGCCTCCAGTTGCGCCACCTTCTCCGAGAGGCTCCGGGACCTGGGGAGGGCACGAGGGGGTGTGGGACCCTGAGGGGACCCCCTCCACCCCTCTACTCCTCCCAGACTCCCCCTTCATACTCATCCTCAGGGGCCACCGGGCTCAGGCTCTGCTGGACCTCGATGTTGGGGGGCTCTCGGAGCTGATGCCCTGGCGGGGGAAGCGGGGGAATGTAAGACCCCTATGTGGGGAGCCCCGAGACCTCCCCCCTCCTGACCCTCCCCATTCCCACAACCACTGAGACCCCCCCTTCCCGATCCCTCCCATTCCCACAATCCCCAGTCCCCCAACTCCCTCAGCTCCGCCCAGTCCCCCAGGATCCCCTCACCCCCTTGACCCCCCATCCCCACAGAACGCCCTCAATCTCCCCATCCCCTCCATCTGCACATGGCCCCCAGACCCACACCAACCCCCCAAGCCTCCCCCCTGGTCCCCCTAGGCCCCCTCACCCTCTCAGCCCCCCACCCCCAAGCTCTCCCAGATCTGCCTCCCATCCAAAACACCCCTCAACCCCCAAGAAACAGCTTCCAGGACCCCCCAGCCCCCCAAAACCCCCCCCTCTCTCCTCCCAGGCAATGACCTCCAGGATCCCCTCAGCCCTCCCAAAGCCCCCCCAAGGCCCACAGGCCCCCTCACCCCCCCCGGGCGATGGCCTCCAGGACCCCACTGCAGGCCGTGGCCAGGCGGGCGATGAGCTCCCACTCCTCCTCCTGGGGCTCCCCAGACCCGGACAGCACTGGTGGGGGAGGCAACAGTGGGGGACACCCAGGGAACTGGAGGGGACCCCTCCAGGGGATGTGGGACAACCCCACAGGACACTCCCCTAGCACAGGGGGCATAGGACAGGGACACCCCCCATGGGATGGGGACATCCAGGGGACAGGGACACCCAGGTGGTGGGGGGACGACCCCCAGGGGACACCCCTCCATGGGATAGGGCATACCCTCAGGGGAAACCTATATGGACAGGGGACACCCCGAGGATGAGGGGAGACAACCCAGGGGATGGGGACACCCCCAAGTGAAGGGGACCTGGGCTGGGGACACCTCAAGGAGATGGGGGGCCCCCAGGGGGCAGGGGTCACCCCTGTAGGATGTGGGACATGGGATAGGGGATGGGGGACACTCCCCTGCAGTGGGACAGGGACACCCCCAGGAGACATAGGATGGGGAATGGAGGGGAGACACAGAAGGGGACATGGGGTGAAACAGGGGAGGGACACGGGGAACACAGGGGGTCCGGGCCACTCACGCCTGCCCAGGGAGTGCCGCAGCGAGAGGCCTGGGGGGGGGGCTGGGCTCGGGGGGGGCCGCAGGACCACCAGCATCCAGAGAGGGACCCTGAGGACAGGGGGGGGCAGCAGGGGCACAGGGAGACTGGGGGAGACACACAGGGACACACATGGGGGGACGGGGGACACGGTAGTGTCAGCAGCCTCATAGGAGCACGGGGGGACGGGGGGAAACACAGGGGGATAAAGGGACTCACCGGGTCACCGGACTGGGGGGGGCTGTGGTGCGGCAGCAACAGGTCAGGCGTGGGGTCAGCCAGGGGAGGCCTGGGGGGTCATAGGAGTGAGGGTTAGAGGGGTTCATGGGAGGGCATGGGATTCCTGGGGGATTTGGGGGGGGTCCCAGGGACTTGGGAGGTGCGTTCCAAGGGTACTGGGGGATCCCAGAGGATTTGGGGGGTTTCCCGTGTCCAGCGTAACTCACGGGCTGGGGGGGGCATCCGGTCGGGCTCTTGAGGGTCCCCGGGCTGGGGGGGCCACCCCCAGGGGGAAAGGGGGTGCTCTCCTCGTCCAGTGCCAGCGAGCGCAGGAGCTGTAGGGTGTCGGGGTGCAGCCCCCCTGGGCCCACCCCATGATCCCCCCTGTCACTGTCTCCCCCTGAGTCGCTGCTGGTGTCTCCGATATCCCCTCCAAGGTCCCCCCCGGGGTCTCCCCCTGTGCCCCGGCCCTGCTCCAGCGAGCGGGCATAGAGCTCCAAGAAACTCCTGGGGGGCAAATGTGAGGGGGACATGGTGGGGGGAAAGTGAGGACACACTGGGGCGTCCAGGTCCCAGTTCCACTTGACCCCCATGTCCCTGCCCTCCCCATGTCCCCCCAGGATCCCCCGTGCCACCCAGTTCTCCCCATTCCGCCCCCCACTGCTCCCCCATTTCCCTCCCAACCCCAATCCCCCCTTTGTCGCCAAAGGCCCCCCAACTCCTCCCATGCTCCCCCGTCCCCAACCCCCCTCGCTCCCCACACATCCTCTATTCCCCCAAATGCCTCCCATTTCCCCCCACTGCCCCCCCCATTACCCTTCCAACCCCAATCCCTCCTGTTTCCCACCCCGATTCCCCGCAGGACCCCGCACAAGCCCCCCCGCCCTGCACGCACCGCCGGGGCCGCCCGTCGCGGTCGGGAGGCAGCAGCGTCAGGGGGCCCGAGGGGCGCCGCAGCAGCGCCCGCAGCAGCCGGGGGTCCCCGCGGGGAAGGGGGCGGTGACCCACGCGCAGCAGCCGCGTCCCGGGCCGCAGCCCCGCAGTCTCGGCGAAGGAGAACCGCGTCACGGCCGTCACGACCCCTGAGGGGTCCACGCGGAACCCCCGGCGGCCCCCGGCCCCCCGCGGCAGCGCCAGCTCCCGCGCCTCGCACCCCCGCGTTACCGCCTGCGGGGGGGACACACCGGGTCAGGGGGGGCACGGGGACCCCGAGAGAGGCCCCCGCGCCTCGCACCCCCGCATCACCACCTGCGGGGGGACATCGAGTCCGGGGGTTCGGGGATCTCTGGGGATCCTGACAGGGACCCCCTGGGGGTGACCCAATATCAGCCCATGGGAACCCCAACACTGACCCCATGGGGCACCCTATGGACAATTGCCCTGTCTGAGCCCCACAGCGCACCCCCATAGTCCCCCATCCTTGCCCCACTGCACCCCCCATTGCCCCCCGAGCCTGACCCATTGCCCTCCCCACCGCCCCCTTGTTTCCCCCCCAGTTTGCCCCACCATCCCTGCCCCACTCCTGCCCCCCCCCCCATTGCCCCCTGCCCCGCTCACCTGGAGCCTGGCCACCACCTGTGGGGCAGCGCCGTGGGGCAGCCGCAGCCCCAGCCACTCGCCCGCCCCATAGAAGATCTCAAGGCGCCCCTCGGCGAACCCCCAGCCCAGCACGTCCCGGCAGGCGCAGCTGAACAGCACCCCGGGGGGGGAGGGCGACTGTTCCCGGGTGGGGGGCGGCGTCCCCTGGGGGGGGCGCGGCCATCCCCGCGTTACGTGGGGGTTCCCCTTGCTGTGGGGCAACCGTCCCTAGGTGGGGGGTGACCGTTCCTGAGTGGGTGGGGGGCTCCCCTGGGTGTAGGGGGAGCACCCCTGGGTTTGGGGGAAACTTCCCCGGCTGAGGGGCGATCGCCCCTGAGTGAGGATCGACCGTCCCTTGGTCACGGGGGGGGATTCCCTGGGTTGAGGGCGAGCCCCCCGGACCGGTTGGTGACCGCCCCGGGTGGCGCGGCGACCACCACCACCCTCTCCGCCGCTACCCCCAGCAGACACGGCACCTCGGCCCCCCCGGGCCCCCCCTGCGCCCGCGCCCCCCACACCAGCGCCCCCGCCACCGCCGCGCCCCCCGCGCGCCCCGCGCTGCCCCGGCGGCGTCCCCCGAGGGCGGGCAGCCCCCGAGGGGGCGCGGGCAGCGGGGCCCCCCCTCCGTGGGCGCGCAGCAGCTCCTGCAGGTACTGGCGGCGGGTGCGCGCGGCCATGGCCCCCAGGCGGCCCCCCCGCGCCGCCGCGTTCTCCCCGTTGATGGCCTTGGCCAGCAGGAACGGGCGCAGCCCCGCGCCCCCCAAAAAACGCTGCCCTGCCGCCAGCGCCGGCCCGAACGGGGGGGTCTCCTCTGGCCGCACCACCGCCACACTGCGGAGAGACCCCCAGAGGGGGCGGGGAGGGTGGTTAGGGACCCCAGAGCACGTGTGAGACTCCCAAGAACCAGGAGAGACTCCCAGAGCCCATGAGAGACCCACGGAGCCCAGGAGAGACTCTCCTAGGGAACTCTGCCAGACCCCCAGGGCGCAGGACAGACCCTCAAGAACCAGGAGAGACCCCCAGAGATTGGGGGAGACTCCCAGGAATCCCAAGAGCCCTGTGACACCCCCAGAGACCCCGGGAGAGACCCCAAGAGCCCATGTAAGCACTACAGGGCTTGTGCTGGCCCACTCCAGCCCTCACATAAACCCCCAGACCCCTTGTGAGTCCCCCAGGGCCCACGCAAGCCCCTCAAGGACCATACATCACCCCCAAAGCCCAGGAGGGACCCCCCCCCCCCCCCCCCCCCCGGGGCCCCCCCCCCCCCCCATGAGCCATTGGGGCCCCCCCGACCCCCCTGTATGAGCCCCACACCCTTCAGGAGCCCTTGGGGATCCCCAGACTCCCTGTACAAAACCTCCAGCGCCTGTCTGAGACCCTTGGAGACCTCCAGATCCTCTTTAGGACCCCCAAAACTCCCTGTATGAGCCCCCCAACCCCTGAGAGCCTCGGGGACCCTTGGCCCCACCTGTAGGTGGTGTGGGGGGTGCAGGGCTCGTGCACCCGCACCACGATGAAGATGTGCTGGAAGTGGCTGCGCAGGGCACGGGGGGAGAAGGGCCGTGCCCCCGGCTCCTGGAACACGATTGTCACGATGTCGTTCCCGATGTGGCGCTTCCGCAGCAGCTGGTGGGGAAAGGGGGGAGTCAGAGCCCCAAAAGTGACCGGGGGAGCAGAGATAGGGAGCCCCCACAGACTGCTGGGAACACCCAGCATCCCCCCAAAAACCTCTGGGACCTTCAGACCCCCCCAGCTGCCTTAGAACTTCCCAAACCCCCTTGGAATCCTCCCATGCCCTGGGACTCCTGGACCTGCTGCTCCTGGACCCCCAGCCCCATGACCCCAGGGACCCCTGTGACCCACCCGCCCCCCCATACCTGCTGGGGGTTGCAAGGGGTGAAGGGCAGCATGGGGGCACCCCAGACCCTACGGACCCCCATGACCCCCGCCATGAGCCCCCCACAACCCCCTGTACCTGCTGGGGGTTGCGGGGAGTGAAGGGCAGCATGGTGCTCACGTGGAACATCACCTCGTAGCCGTGGTACGTCGTGTACAGTGAGTGGGTCCCCGTGGAGTCAGCTGGGGGGGCACAGCCTAAGCCCCCACTCTGCCAGAGACCCCTGGCCCCATGGTCCCTCAAGGCCCCGTGTCCCCAGGTCTCCCTGTATCCACATCCCCTTGCGTCCCCCGTGCCCCATCCTCCCTGTCCCCACCAGGTCCCCGTGTCCTTTCCCCTACGTCCTCATGTTCCCCCCATCCCCTGTGTCCCCATGTCCCTCTGTCCTCACAGTAGCCATGTCCCCATCCCCGTGTGCCACGTGTCCCCCACCCCCATGTCTCCCCCGTCCCCCTACGTCCCCCCGTGTCCCCCTGTGTCCCCGTATCCCACCCCGTCCTCCCATGTGTCCCCGTGTCCCCATGTCCCGGGTCTCACTGCGGGTGTCCAGCTGTGCCCGGTACCCCGCGAAGCCGCGCAGCCTCACGCGGGTGCCCAGCAGTGCCAGGAACTGCTCGAAGGCAGGGCCGGGCTCCTCGTTGTTGTACATCTCCTCCTCGGAGCCCTGTCCCCCCCCGGCAGTACAGCACCCCCACCTTGCGCTGCCGGCTCACCTGGGGGGGATGGAGGATGTGAGTGGGGCACAGGGAGTTCCCGGGGAGCGTGCAGGGAACACGCACAGACCCCTGAACACGCTCAATGGCCTCCCACGAGGGTCTGCACTGGTGCAAACCCCGTCCTCATGCAAACCACGTCCTCGTGCAAGGCCCGAACCCCTGCAAACCCCACCCTGTGCACGCCCCATCCTCGAGCAGCGCCCACCCTTGTCCAAGCCCTGCCCGCGCGTGAGCCCCAGGTCCGGTGCGATGCAATCCTTGTGCAAGCCCCCCCCACACAAAGCCCCCTCACTCAAGCCCCTCTCACATAAGCCCCTCCTCTTGCAAGCTCCCCCTCACCCCCTGCTCATCCAACTTGAGGAGGGTCTCCTGCACGGCAGGGGAGGGGGCAAGGCGCAGCCCCCCCCACCACCAGCCCGGGCAGCACCAGCTCCAGCAGCTTCCGGGGGGGGGACCCCCCGCGCCCCAGAGGGGCGAGAGCCGGGGGGCAGCGCCTCCTCCAGAACCGACCCCCGCAGCGTCCGTGGCTGGGGGGGATACAGGAAGGGTCAGGGTGGGGGCACCTTCATGGAACCCCCGCACTGCCCTCGGCCCTCATGGGCACCCCTGAGACCCCCCAGCTCCTGATGTCCCTCTGAAGCTCATAGGGATCACCCCATAGGGCCTTTGGGACCCCCAGGTCCCCCCCACCGACTTCACCCATCCTCCCGAAACCCCACCCACCCCCTCCAATCCCCTGAACCCACCCTAGAACCTCTGAACCCCCTCACCCCCTTGTACCCACCCAGCCCTTCTGGGACCTCCGGGCCCCCTGATTCTCCTGGCCCCCCCAGCTCCCTCCTCCCCCCTGGATGCCCCCCAGCACCCCCCTGTCACCTGGCAGGTGCGCAGGATGATCCTGTGCAGCACCTGGGCCCGAGGTCCCTCCTTCTCCTCCCGCCGAAGGGACACGGCCACGGGCCCCAGCCGGGGGTCCTCACCCAGCAGGTTCTGGTGCTCTGGGAGCGGGTCGGGGGGGGTCGGGAGGCCGTATGGCCCTTCCCAGCCCACCCACAGCTCCCCGTGGCCCCAGCCGGCTGTCCCTGCCAGCAGGTTCTGGTGCTCTGGGGGACCAGGGGGGATGGGGGAGGGACGGGACCACCACAGCCCCCCCACATCACATCCCCTGCCCCCCCTCACCTTTCCCATAGAAGTACTTGCGATAGTACTCGGCGCCGTCGTCGCTGTGCTCGATGGGGTGGGGGGGTCGCGCCCCCGCCGGGGGCTCCTCCAGCACCGCCACCGCTGCGTTCGGCAGCTGCCCGGGCCCGGGGGGCACACGGGGGGGGCCCAGCCCTGGCTCCTGCTCTCCCCCCGTCTCGCAGCAGAAGCGGGGACAGCTCAGCACCAGGGCCTCGGGGTCGGGAGGAGCCCCGTGGGGCCCAGGGGGCTCCTCGGGCTCCAGGTGGGCGGCGGAAGCCCCCGAGGTGGGGCCCGGGTCGGCCGTGGGGGGCTCGGCCGGGTCGAAGAGGATGCTCTGCACGTCGTAGTGAGCGAGGAGGGGGCTCCAGGGGGGGTGGGGGAAGAAATCGGGGTCCCCCCCGCCGGCCGCAAGTCCCAACAGCAGCAGAGGGTCGCGGAAACGGGGGGACGTGGGGCTGCCCCCCCCGGCCGCCTCCTCGTGGCTCTGGGTGCGGGCCCGAGGGAACGCTATCCCCGGAGACCCCTTCTCCTCCGGGGACCCCCCAAGGGCCGCCTCGCTGCTGCTGCTGCGCTGCAGGGGGGCGGCCCCCCCCGGGGACGAGGGCGGCAAGGGGGCCCCCCCGGCCGCGCTGGGGGGGGGCGGGGGGTGGGGGCGGCCGGGCCGAGGGGCCCCGCATCTTGCGGAGGAAGAGGTCGTCGGACTGCATGGCCCCCCCCGGGACCCCCAGGGATCCCCCCGAGATTCCTTAGGACCCCTCTGAGACTCTTTGGGACCCCTCTATTTCCCCCTGAGACCCCTAGGGACTAGCTAGGACCCCCCTGAGACCCCCCGGGACACCCCTGATCCCCCCTAGGGAACACCCCCGTAACCCTCAGGAACCCCAAGGGACTCTCAGGGACTCCTTAGGACCCTCCTGGGGGTCTCTGGCACCTCTCCAGCCCCCCAGCCCCCCCCCAGTTGTAGCGGAGACCCGCACCCAGGGATTAGTCAATGGAAGCGTGGGAACGGAGTCCATGCCCCGATTGGGTGCCCGGGAATTCCCGCGTGCGGAGGCTCCGCCCCTTTTCCCACGCGCCCCTTCCCGGGTCGCGGTTAATGGGGGCAACCGGGGGGGTCGGGGGGGGGCTCCGGCCGCGGCGCTCTCCGGGGCGGGGAGGGACGGCGGCACCTGGGGAGGGACAGGGAGTCAGTGAGGGCTCGGGGGCGCTCCTCAGCCCTCCACGCCCCATCCCCGTGTCCCTCTGTCCCTCCGTGTCTGTTCCTCCATCCTCAGTCAACCCACGGGCCCCCTTTGCCCTCCCCGCCTCGCCCACTCCGCTGCAGGAACCCCAGAACAGGGCTGAGCGGGGGGTGCCCTTGGACCCCCACGGACCCCCGGGTCCTTCCTTCGCCTGGGTCCTGGCCTGGCCCTCTGTGCCCCCCACGGCTCCGTGGGGTCGGGGGGGGGCTCGGTGGGAAGTTGTGGAGCTGGGGGAGTTCGAGGGGGGGGCCCGGACGTGCCGCCGCCGGCGGTTTCCTGCCTTACAGGAAGCGTCAGCCGCCGACGGCCCCCCAAGAGCTGCCCCCCAACTGCTCCCCCTAGCCCCCCGCACTGATCCCCACCCCCGGGGGGTCCCCCCCCAACTCCAGCGACCTCCCCGATGATGGGTCCCCGTTCCTGACCTTGTCCTCGGTGTGAACTCGGGCGTCCGGGCTCCCCCCCCCAACTTCCCTCCTCCGGCTGCAGGACCCGGTGTCCGGCCCCCCCCCAGAGGAAACGGCGTCCGGCTCCCCTGACTCCCCCCGGGCACCATGGCCCCTCCCCGCCCCCCTCCCCCGGTCTGTTAAGACGCGATTAACGACGTTAATCTGGGGGGGGGCGGGGGCTGACGCCCCCCCCCCGCCAGGTACAGGTGGCTCAGGGCAGGGCAGGGACTCAGGTGTCCGGGGGGGGCCACCCGGGTGTCCCCACCCCTCCTGGGACCCCCTCGGGACACCACGGCCGCCCCCCCCCCCGTCGTATGTTCCCCAGAGGCGCGGGGGGGACGGAAATCGCGGTCCCGGGGAAAGGTGTCCCACGGGGGTCAGTCGGGGGTCGCAGGGAGGTTCACAGGGGGTTTGGGGCCTCATACGGGGGTGGGGGATGCACCGTCCAACAGCCCCCCCCCGCCCAACCCCCGTGCGAGCCTCCCCCCCCCCCCCCCCCCCCCCCCCCCCCCCGGCCCCCTGTGTCCCCCCTTGTGTCCCCCCCCGGGGGGGGTCCCACGCTGCTGGAGGTCCCAGGTGTCCGGGGGGTCCCAGGCGGGCCGGACCCCCCGCTTGCACAGGCTGCAGCGGCTCGAGGGGCCACGGGTGGCCGCGCCCCCGCCCTTCCCCTCCGCCGCTTCCTCCCGCCACGGTGAGCCCGGGGGGGGGCCGGGGGGGCTCCGGCCTCCCAGGGCACCCCCCTGACCCCCCAACCCATCCCTGCACCCCCTCCCCACGTGGGCAGCCCAGGCATCCGGTGCCCCCCAGGCGATGCCCCCCCCCACCCCAGTGCGGCGGGAAAACGACAAAAACGACTTTTTGAACCGTTATCAGGGTTTATTTATTAATTTATTTGTACCAACCCCCCTAAACCAACAAAACCCCACTGAGAACCAGCAAAAACGAGAGAAAGAGTCCAGCCTTCCCCAGGATCCCCCCATGAAATGTCCCAGAGCCCCTGTCAGAGATCAGGTGCCCCCAAATCTCACCATGAGGCTGCTTAACCCCTCCAGCCCCCCCCGGTTATGGCCAGGAAAAGCCCCCCCCCGCCCTCCGTTGCCCCCCCGTTATGGGGCAGGACCGCCCAGTGCCCCCCCAAACATCCCAGTTACAGCACTGCCCCCCCCCAGACCCCCCTGCTCTGGGGTCGGCCCAACCTCCACTCCCCTCCCGAGGGGGTCTCCCCTGACCGATCACCCTCAGGGCCCCCTGTCACCCCCTGAGGGGAGTCGCTGGTGGCTGAGGGGGTCTCGGGGGGCTGGGGGCTCAGGGCCATGCACGGGCTGCTGGGACCCCTACCCTGAGGGGGTGTTAGGGGGGGGCTGCCAGGTGGAACCTCCCCCTCTGCAGTGGCTGCCAGAGGGCTCTCTGGGGCTGGGGGGAGGCTGAGGGTCAGCGGGACCCCGGCATCACCCCCGGCCCCCCCGCAGCTCCCCTCCCTCAGCCCCTGTGCCTCCCCCAGCCCCCCCTCCCCACCGGGGTGCCCCCCCTCTGTGGGGGGGCCGCGGCACAGATGCTCCCGGTCGGCGGCGGTGATGATGCCACTGGTGCTGTTCCAGAGCTCTGGGGGGGGCACGGGGGGGATTTAGTGTGGGGGGGACACATCCCAGGGAGGGCCCGAGGCCCGGGGGGGTCCTGGGGCTGCTCACCCCCCATCCTGTCCGTGTCCAGGTGCGGCAGCAGCTCCTGGGGGAGGACACATGCACGGGGGGGTTGTGGGGGGCATAGGGGGGCCCCGAG